TCTTTTTTATTCTTATACTTTTTTATTTCTCTTTTAAAAAGGGTAGAACCGACATGATAGGGCGGAGCCGCCGGAGACGGATTTGTATACCGCCGGGTCAGTTTCCAGTGATGGGCAGGGGCAGCAGGTGAGTGCACCAGTGGAGAAAGCAGCGCTGCTTTCATTTGTACTCGGTTCTCGCGATCGCTCCTCCCCAAAACGCAGCCTGGGGAGCTGTCGGTGTCCCCATTTCTGATGGTAAAGTGAGCCCCAGAGGGACTGGACGACATGCAGAGGCCGCGCAGCGCATTCGTGGTGGAAGGAAGTCGCATCTGACCCCAGATGGGTCAACTCCAGTGCTTGCTCTCACTCACGCATCTCTCTCAGTCTTTGTCCACACCTCTCTGCTAGTGAAGACAATAGGCGGCTTCCCACAACCAGTCATATTGGATTGAGGCCCACCCTAGTGACCTCGTTCTAACCTAATTACCTCCTTTAAGACCCTGTCACCAAATAGTTACACTCTGAGGTACTGGGGGTTAGGACTTCAACATGTCAGTTGACAGAGGGACAAACTTCAGCCCCTCACACTCCACCCTCTCCTATTTTTTTCAGATTAGGAACAGTCTATATTTTTTCAGATTAGACTGAGAGAGATGCGTGGTGTTTGTGTGTTTTCTGGTTCGAATTTATGCATTTCTTTCCAAAGCTCAGGAACTTTCAAAGCCCTGCAAGCATTATGGTAATTTTTGGGTGACGACAGCTACATTAGCATCTCAGACAGTTCGCAGCTTTTCTGCCGGCAGGCTCGTTTATCTTCACGGTTTTTATTATAAAAGGTATTTACATGTTATACATATTTACAGTTCTCTCCCATCACCAAAACCAACAACATTTTCACATGCGTTGCTCGAGAATTTCTTATGAACCAAAGACACTGAAATATTCACTGTTCCCCTGCTCACTTGTTTTAGTCTTTTTCTGTTTTGTAATCTACCCTCTGATTAGTTCTTCCCCTGCTCATTTGCATATGCATAAGCCTCATGATTTTTGCTGTCCTAGAGTCTTTATCACTCCACTTGAGCAGGTGCGCCTGCCCTCTTCCTTTAACTCAGCTAACGCTCTAGGAATTTGTTCTCGGTTTCATTCCTTTCAGGGAATGCTTATTTCAGGAACACCATGTGGTGGGTGAGGGGCAGGGACCATGAACATGGGCTTGCTGTGTGCTCTCCGGGCATGGAGCTGCCACTCTGGCAGGCGGGCACTTGTCTACGCAATGGCCACATGGGGACAGAAAGCCTGGGCAGAGGTTGGGCGGCCACAGCAGGGGCTGCCACTGGTTGGAGTTGGATAAGGCTCCTTACGGAGTTCCACCGTTAAATCAGTCCTGGGATGGGGACAACTCAGAGCACCCTCACGGTCCTGTTCCTAATCTGAAAAAAATAGGAGAGAGTGGAGTGTGAGGGGCTGAAGTTTGTCCCTCTGTCAACTGACATGTTGAAGTCCTAACCCCCAGTACCTCAGAGTGTAACTATTTGGTGACAGGTTCTTAAAGGAGGTAATTAGGTTAGAACGAGGTCACTAGGGTGGGCCTCAATCCAATATGACTGGTTGTGGGAAGCCGCCTATTGTCTTCACTAGCAGAGAGGTGTGGACAAAGAACCCGGAAGGCTGGTGACCCTTGAAGCCCTGGCAAAGGTCAGGGCTGTGCACCCACTGTTAGTCCAGACAATGGTAGCTGAAGCAACTTCCCCACTTATTATTATGTAAAATAAATCCTTGCTAAAGGGCAAGTCTGCCTGTTACTGGAAATTGCCTGCCTAAGGGCTATGGGTGTATCCCTAACCAATAAAAGGTTGGCGAGGCCTGAGCACCAGTGGAAGTCCTTCCCCTTGAGTTGGACTTACCCGCCTGGCCCCCCAGTATTTCCAAATTATCTCTTGTCTCTTCTCTTTCATTTGTGTGTGGCTCTTCTCCAGATCCTGAACCCTGAATCACGCGGGACGTGGGGGAACAAACTTTACACAACTGGTGTCCTCGTAAGAATAGGAGATGTGGACATAGACATGCCCGGAGTAAAGACCATGTGAGCACACAGCAAGAAGACATCCATCTGCAAGCCAGGGAGAGAGGCCTCAGAAGAAACTAACCCCACTGACACTTTGAACTTGGACTTCCAGCCTTCAGAACTATAGTCAGAAAAGAGATGTCTATTAAGCGCCCCCACCCCCACCCTCTGTAGTACTTGGTATGACAGCCCGAGCAAAATAAAACGGAGTGCTTATATTTGCTCTGCCAACCAATGAGTGGTGTGGGTGGCAAGGAAAGAGCGGTGTGAAAATGCTTTATAAATTACCGTGTGCCATATGACCACCACTGTGGGCGGAGTTTCACTATTTCCCTTTTCTTTGGGACCTTTGGGGTCACTGTGTGGACATTTGTTGTATTTGCCTGTGCAGAGTTCACCCCCCTTCTTTGAGGGTCAGCCTCCCAATTACTGTGAAGGAGGCCCCATTTCCACTGTCAGAGCACTGGGAGGGCTGACCATGCTCCCTCCTTTGCAGAGATAGGCAAGGGACCCTGGCCTGCCAGGGGCATCGCCCATCCTCCTGACCTGGTCTGGGAAGGTATGTGTCAGATTCAGTCCGAGGACCTGTGTTAGATGAGGGCTGTCAGGTAAAATACAGGACGCTTAGTTACATTTGCATTCCAGATTAGCTAGGGATAGTTTCTTAGCAATAATGTGTCCCACATAATTGCTGAATCTGGTAGTTGGACTAGCTGGACTATTTATTAAAGAGAAGCTTGCTTTTTGGTGAGCGTGGTGAGCTGGTAGCATGTAAGAACTCATGGACAGGAAGCAGAACTCAGAGATAAAGGAGGCTGATGACATCACTTGAGGCTCTGGATTCAGCCACACCTGAAGCTGGGAACTGCCTCTCCACCTTTCAGTTTTGTGAGCCAGCAAAGTCTCTTCTTTATACATAAGCCTGTGTGAGTTGGGGTTTTGTGACCCAGAATGATGCCTGGTATAATCATGATTCAATAGTTAAGCCAATGCTTGAGACCCCTCTCCCCTCCCCCACGCCTGCTGTCGGCTTATCCAGATTGTGCAAAGACAGGGAAGAGAAGTCTTTGAAACATAATGAGGAATAAGTTTAAATGAATCCAGTATCCCAGGGAGCTCTGCTTGAGGAGACATTGCATTAAGGACGTTCACCGCAATGGTACGGTGCTGTAGAGATGCTGAGGTGTTGGGGGGAGTAGGGGCCTGCCAACGCTGCCTTCCCTCGGCACAGAGGGCGGCACAGGCCTTTATCCTGCTGGGCTACCCCCCCTGGTGCCCAGGTCGGTGACAGCGTTGTGAAAGCAGTCAGAGCCACTGGTGCCAGGCCATGGGGACTCGCTTCTCCACCAGCATCCAGCGGTGCCTGGGCAGCATGTGGGCATCTGTCCTCCGAGAACTGGGAGGTAGCGGTGCTTGCTTGTTCTCTGAGAGAGGGATTGCCAGTCCAATGCTAGGAAATGGAGCAGAGTCCGGCATGCTCACAGAAAGACACGGATGGCCTTCCAGGGCCACCAGCTAGAGAGCGCGCTGAGGAATGCGTGAACATATCTGAAAGAAGAGCATCAGCAGAGGGGGACTGATGGGCTATGAAAGCCCAGACAGAGTCATGTCCATCCGGGAGGCAGGGCAGGCCCAGGCCGTCCCAGCACCGGCTGGAGAGGGGCTCCACTCCGTGGACATGGCCCTCCATCGGTCAAGGCCATCCTCACGGGCTCACGTGACTGAGCACTGCTACGCTCAGTCCCTCTCCTTGCTGTGATCCTAGAGCTCCAATTCCAGAGGCTGGCTTCACACCAGCTTGCCTGCAGAGGGCAGAATGCCAGCGCTGACCTGCTGGCACAACAGTCTGGCCCAGGAGCCAGGTGTATTTCTAAGAACATACTAGTAGAACGCTGTCCTCTCTTACAGACTCGATAACCTTGTAGCACTCTCCATTATCCACACATTTCCAAGTATGCCAGGCATGGTCAGCTACTCAGGGGGGCGGGAAGAATGGGTAAAGTCAGAGGCAGGGTCATTGGTGAGTGGACCCACTCCCTGTAGGGTGTCCCGAGTGTGGGTGTTGGTGATGCCCACTGGGTGACATGTTTGGGGGCAGGGTGACAGGGAGCAAGAATGCTGCCCTGCCAGATACTGTCTCATCCACCTCTCTCTGTCCATCAAACCGGATCAGCAAAGGCTCCCTCATCTCTCCAGCCTGCTGACTGTGTCAGGGAGGCTCTGGGGGTGGGGAATGGGACAGCAGAGAGATTCTGCTCTGGGCTCCACAGGCTGCTCCTGAAGCCTCTCAACTCAGACATCACCTCACTCACCACAGCGAGGATTGATGTGCGTCTGCAAAACCCATCTGGTCGCCATGAAGGACTCGGGTCTCTACCGGTAGTATAACATAGACCCCATTATAACAGCCTTAAAGCTTCCTCAGGGATTGACAGTGAAAGCTACCTGGCTCAAACTATGTTCCTCGATACCGGTTGATGCCCCCAGAAGTAAAATCCGTGCGTGCAGCACCCTCCGCATATATTTCTGTCCATCACCATTGCTCCTCATCAGTGAGAAACACTCACTGAGCCGTGTATTTCACCCGCTCCCTAAACATGGCCGCAGGCCTTCCTGTGTGTCAGGCACGGTGCTGACTGAGGACGTGACTGTGAACGGAAGAGACCATCCTCATCCTGTGGAGGAGCTTACACTGTGGTGGCCCAGCGGTCTGTGCTGTGGGGAGAGAGCACGGCTGTGGGGGTGTGTGCAATGCGGGGAACCGGACCTCTTCCCTGGGGGTTGAGAAACTCCCTGGAGAGGCGGCTTTCAGGTACTGCATGTCCTGAAAGATAACGGGGTGGGTGTGGGTGCAGGAGGTGTGCACCGGGATCACAGCAGGGAGGGGAGCCTGGACCTGGCTCCCCGGGGCCGCCTGTGGGTGGAGAAGGAAGAGGCTGTGAAGGGGCAGGGAAGGTGGTTGGTCTTAGCCCGAGGGCGGTGAAGAGACTGGGCGCTCTGCCCCATCTGGCTGACCCCTTAGCGATTTTAAAGACCAGGAGGCCGGCACACCTGTGTCCTTGACCTTTGGGAGCCCGATAAGTTGAAGCCGAATTTGGAGGTAGGAGAAGTTACATGAATGACTTTGACGCCGTTTTCTCTCTAATCCTGACGCTGTGACCAGGCTGTTAGGATTGTCCTTGTCCAGGAGATGGCAGGCTCCTGCTGCGGACGGAGTCAGCGCTGGGCGGCTCTGGGTGGAGGGGGAGGGAATAGTGGCTGCAGTGGCTCCTCCTGGGAGGTTGTGATGCAGGCTCTGGGTGGGGACCAGGTTGGTGCCAGCCTGAGGTGAAGAGGTGCAAACAGAACTTTGTACCAGGGGACATTTGTGTGAAGTGGGGGCGTCACAGGGAAAGGGCTGAGCTCTGCTGCGGACCTGGCAGAGCTTCAAACTGGCGCCCAAGATCACAGGAAGCTGGAGTAATCTTCTAATGGGGAGCACTCCAGAAGGAAAGAACAGCGGTAATGGCTATCAATTACGCAGTGTTTACAGCGAGCCCGCGCGGCCCTTTCATCTCGCCTCTCTCATCTTGCCTCTGAAAGTCACACAAAGCCTGCGTTTCCAAATCCAACTTACACTCTGGCTCTTGTCCCCACCCCAAGACCTGCCCCCACCCCACGTCTCCCCCGCTCTGTGCATGTCACCATCACACACAGTTACTCCTGGATTAGCTGCTAGGGCTGCCTTAAAAATTAGCACAAAACTGGAGACTTAAAACAATAGAAATTCATTCTCTCACAGCTCTGGAGACCAGGAGTCCACATCCAAGGTCTTTTCAGGGATGCACTCGTGCTGCAGGCTCTGGGGAGAGTCCTTTCTTGCCTCTAATGGCTTCTGGTGGCTCCTTGTGGCCACATCACTCCAGTCTGACTGTCTCTTCACGTGGCCTTCTCTGGGTCTGTGTCTTCTCCCCTCGGTCTCTTAGAAGGAGACTCGTGGTTGGCTTTTAGGGTCCTCCTGGATGAGCCAGGACGATCTCATCTAGAGATCCTGAAGCATGGTAGCAACCATGTTTGGGTAAATGTTTAATATATTTTTTTTATATATATTTTTATTGATTTTTTACAGAGAGGAAGGGAGAGAGATAGAGAGTTAGAAACATCGATGAGAGAGAAACATCGATCAGCTGCCTCCTGCACATCTCCCACTGGGGATGTGCCCGCAACCCAGGTACATGCCCTTGACCGGAATCGAACCTGGGACCTTTCAGTCCGCAGGCCAACGCTCTATCCACCGAGCCAAACCGGTTTCGGCGATGTTTAATATTTTAACCCTGCTGACTTGGCTTCTGTACTTACTTGCTTGCTAAAATAATAGAAAAGTTATTTTGATTTTCTGAATTATATAAATCATCCCATTCGATTGAATACGCTATTGATTGTAATGTGAATACCCCATTGGTTGTGGTCATACTGGTTTTAGAAAGCACATTCTTCTGTACCTGGGGACCAGGACAGCACAATTATCCTAAATTGCCTCAGTGGCTACAAATAATGCATTCTGGTTGACTCAGTGGTCCCAAGACCCGAGGGCTCTAGATAATGTGTTTCTGTCAACTCAGTGGTCCCAAGACCAGGACAGCACAATTACTAAATTGCCTCAGTGGCTCCAGATAACGTGTTTCTGTTGATTCAGTGATCCGGAGACCTAAAACTATAATTTAACTAACATGCTCAATTCGCTTCTGTAACTGCTTTGTGCAGGTTCCTCATTCCAAACCCAAAGATGTAATGAATACCTTTGTGATTTTTGCCTATATAAATCTGGTGTTGGGGCTAGGTAATTATGGCAAGATTTGGAGAGCAAAATGCCCCCTCGAAGTCCCGGATTTGCAATAAATCTGACTCCTTAATTGGACTTCTTGAGGCGTCCTTGTGTGATTCGTGGGGTACATTACAACAATCCTTAACTTAATTCTCTCTGCAAAGACCCTGTTTCTAAATGGGGCCATGTCCACAACTTTCAGAGATTAGGATCTGAGCATGTCTTTTCAGGGGACACCATTCAACTCTACACTCGGCGAGGAAACCTAGAGGTTGTCTGTCCCCCTCCTCCAGTCTCACATTGAAACTCTGACTCCCAAAGTGACTGCATCTGGAGGGAGGGCCTTTCGGGAGATAATTCAAGTTGAATGAGGTCATAGGGGTGGGGCCCTAATGTGATAGGACTGTTGTTCTT